ACACAAAAATAAGCTCAAAATGGATTAAAGACCTAAATGTAAGGCCAGAAACTATCAAACTCTTAGAGGAAAACATAGGCAGAACACTCTATGACATAAATCACAGCAAGATCCTTCTTGACCCATCTCCTAGAGTAATGGAGATAAAAACAAAAATAAACAAATGGGACCTAATGAAACTTCAAAGCTTTTGCACAGCAAAGGAAACCATAAACAAGACCAAAAGACAGCCCTCAGAATGGGAGAAAATATTTGCAAATGAATCAACTGACAAAGGATTAATCTCTAAAATTTACAGGCAGCTCATGCAGCTCAATAACAAAAAAATAAACAACCCAATCCAAAAATGGGCAGAAGACCTAAATAGACATTTCTCCAAAGAAGATATACAGACTGCCAACAAACACATGAAAGAATGCTCAACATCATTAATCATTAGAGAAATGCAAATCAAAACTACAATGAGATATCATCTCACACCAGTCAGAATGGCCATCATCAAAAAATCTAGAAACAATAAATGCTGGAGAGGGTGTGGAGAAAAGGGAACACTCTTGCACTGCTGGTGGGAATGTGAATTGGTTCAGCCACTATGGAGAACAGTATGGAGGTTCCTTAAAAAACTACAAATAGAACTACCATATGACCCAGCAATCCCACTACTAGGTATATACCCTGAGGAAACCAGAATTCAGAAAGAGTCATGTACCAAAATGTTCATTGCAGCTCTATTTACAATAGCCCGGAGATGGAAACAACCTAAGTGCCCGTCGTCGGATGAATGGATAAAGAAGATGTGGCACATATATACAATGGAATATTACTCAGCCATAAAAAGAAACGAAATTGAGCTCTTTGTAATGAGGTGGATAGACCTATAGTCTGTCATACAGAGTGAAGTAAGTCAGAAAGAGAGAGACAAATACCATATGCTAACACATATATATGGAATTTAAGAAAAAAAATGTCATGAAGAACCTAGGGGTGATACTGGAATAAAGACACAGACTTACTAGAGAATGGACTTGAGGATATGAGGGGGGAGAAGGGTAAACTGTGACAAAGTGAGAGAGAGGCATGGACATATATACACTACCAAACGTAAGGTAGATAGCTAGTGGGAAGCAGCCACATAGCACAGGGCGATCAGCTCAGTGCTTTGTGACCACCTGGAGGGGTGGGATAGGGAGGGTGGGAGGGAGGGAGATGCAAGCGGGAAGAGATATGGGAACATGTGTATATATATATAACTGATTCATTTTGTTGTGAAGCTGAAACTAACATACCATTGTAAAGCAATTATACTCCAATAAAGATGTTAAAATAAAAAAAATTTTAAAAAAAGATTATACTCTCCAATGACAACAGTGACTTCTGGGGAAGCGACAAGAATAGGGTGGTGACCAAAGGGGATTTTTAGTCCCCCCAAAGTTTAAAAAATAAGACTAAACCCACAATTATTTGTCTGATTAAAAATAAAAGAGACTCTAGAATTAAAGATTGTTTAGAAAATGATGACAATGACAACACAGTATGTTAAAATAGGGAATGGGGGCTTCCCTGGTGGTGCAGTGGTTCAGAACATGCCTGCCCATGAAGGGGATATGGGTTCTAACCCTGGTCCGGGAAGATCCCACATGCCGCGGAGCAATTAAGCCCGTGCGCCACAACTGCTGAGCCTGTGCTCTAGAGCCCACAAGGCACAACTACTGAGCCCTCGTGCTGCAACTACTGAAGCCCAGGCGCCTAGAGTCCATGCTGTGCAACAAGAGAAGTCATCACAGTGAGAAGCCTGCACACCGCAACAAAGAGTAGCCCCTGTTCGCCGCGACTAGAGAGAGCCTGCGTGCAGCAACGAAGACCCAACGCAGCCAAAAATAAATAAATTTATTAAAAAAAAAAACAGGGAATGGGACCAAAGCCATATTCAAAGAAAACTGCCATCTCAAGGGCCTCCATTATTTAAGAAAAACAAGCAATTGAGCATTCAACCTGTGTTCCAGATAGAGGAAACTGCTGGTGTAAAGGCCTGTTTGAGGAACAGCATAGTGGCCAACGCGGCTGGAGTAGAGTGAGCGAGAGTAATAGACTTTTTTTTTTTTTTTTTTTTTTAAGATACCAAAGGGCCAGATCACACAGGGCCTTGCAAGGTCATTCGGGGCTCCCCGCCTCACCCCGAGTGAGATGGGAAAGCAGAGCAGGGTTGTGTGCAGAGGACTGACTGATCTTACACTTATTAAAGGATCACTCCACTTCTTCGTAAGAACACACCCTGGGAGGTGTCAGGCTGGAAGGAAGGAGATCGGTTAGGAAGCTGCTGGAATAATCCAGATAAGAGGTGAATGGGTGACAGCAGTGGAAGGAATAAGATATGATCAGATCCCAGATAAATCTTGATGGTAGAACCAAAACGATTTCCTGAAACACTGGTTCTGAAGTAAGAAAGAATCAAAGACAATTTCAAGGTTTTTGGCCTAAGCAAGCGGAAAATGGAGCCACCGTAATAGAAAAGGGAAATGTGAGTGAAGTACGTTGAGAGATCAGGAGCTCATACATATGAGTATGGCGTCTACGACTTGAGCACGAGGCGCTCAGAGGGCAGAGAGAAGAGGAAACACAGACTGAGCACGGGCAGGCCGGAGAGGTGGGAGGAAAACCTAAAGAGATGCGGTCTTCTCAAAGTGACAAGTGACAAAAGTCATCAAGTATGTCACTGCTGCTGAAAGAGCAAGTAAGATGAAGACCGAGACCTGCTCACTGGACACAGCAACATGGAGGCCACTGACAGCCTTGACAGAGCAGTTTCAGCAGGGGGAAGCGGGGTGGGTGGGCACGAGGAATGACTCTGCCTGCAGGGGGTTCAGGATAGAACAGAAGAAAGACATACACATTGCACCTTTGAAAAGTTTTGTGGTTTCCGTTCTTTGAAATGAAAAAACACTAAAGCTACCCAAGGCCACATCCCAGGCACAAAATGACTAACCATTTTTTCCTCTAATAACTGCTGCGTTTCCAATATTTCTAGTCCCTCTTCACACTTCCAACTTACAAACATAAATAAGATACTGAATTGCCCCCCAACTCTCGATAGCATCCAATCCAAAATTAGCCCTTATCCCTCCTTAGAATCGTCTAGCACAAGTCCAAACCTTATCAGAGACACTCTAATGTCTGATTCCTATGATACATATCACTTGCTGGCAGTAAGTCAATAATAAACCTTTTTTTAAAGCTAAAAAAACCCCCAAACAAAAAAATGTATTAAAGTTAAAAGGCAAATGAAAACCTGGGTAAATATTTACAGCTTGTACCAAAGGGTAAAAAAATATTTTATTTAAAACGTGTTTGGGGACTTCCCTGGTGGCATAGTGGTTAAGAATCCGCCTGCCTATGCAGGGGACGCAGGTTCTAGCCCTGGTCTGGGAAGATCCCACATGCCACGGGGCAACCAAGCCCGTGTGCCACAGCTACTGAGCCTGTGCTCTAGAGCCCTCAAGCCACAACTATTGAGCCCATGCACAACTACTGAAGCCCACGTGCCTAGAGCCCATGTTCCATAATAAGAGAAGCCACCGCAATGAGAAGCCCGTGCACCATAACGAAGAGTAGCCCCTGCTCGCCGCAACTAGAGAAAACCTGTGTGCAGCAACGAAGACCCAATGCAGCCAAAAATAAAATAAATTTATTAAAAAATAATAAAAAATTTTAAAAAATGTTTTATCATGGAAAATTTCACACACATGCAGAGGACAGTAAAATGAACCCTCAAGTGTCCACTGCCAGCCTCAACTCCTGCTGCGGCCAGTCCTGTGTCTGTGCCCCGCCCACTTCCCCTGACTCGCTCCTCACATTCTTTTGAAGCAAATATCAGGTATCATTTCATTTATTGATATTCAGTACTCAGCTCTAAAAGATGAAGATTCTTTTAAAAAATGTAACTCTTACATAATTATAATATCTAAAAAAATTAAGAACTCGTAAATAACAAATATTCTGTCAGTGTTCAAATTTCCTTACTTTCTCTTCAACTGTTACTACAGTTCTTTTGGTTTGAATCAAGGGCCACATAAATTCCATACATTGCACCTACCTGCTATTTTTCCTAAGTCTCCTTTAACCTACAGGCTGTCTCACACTGCAGTTGATTTCTTGAAGAGGAGTTTTCCACTTCAGGACAATGCTTACTGCAGGCCTGTGGTGCACTTGACAGGTCCCTCTGTCCCCTGTACTTCTTATAAACTGGTACTCAGACCTAGAGGCTTGATCGGACTCAGGTCCAGTTTTTTTTTCTTTTGGCAAGAAGAGCACGGGTATTGTTTTGAACTTCTAAATGTCTGGGTGTTGCTCTTTTGGAGTTGTTAGCAGTTTTTCAGGATCCTTGCTCAGATCCATTAATTCATTAGGAGTTGAAAAACAGTGATAGTCTGAAGTTCTTTCTTCATTTTGTTAGCTGGGATATGTCTATTGAAAACATTTTCTCATTATCTATTTGGTTGATGTGAGTATAGTTTGCAAAGGAAAAGATAAGTGCTCTACTCTTTCATTTACGGTTCCCTAGCATCCACTACAGGTCAGCAATGAATAGTATATTTTTTAGGATCACTGTGAACTCATGGATTCTATGTATGTGTGAATCAATTTTCATTATTATTCCCACTGAGGTTCAAACTCTTATCTTCAGCTTGGCTCCTGACTCTCTTTGCTGATCCCAGAGGTCTTTGCTAGCTATACTGTTTTCTGTCCTGAAAAGATGTTCCAGGCTCATCATACACTTTCCAGACCTAGATACAGAACCAGCCATTACTCCGAGAAGCCCTAGTTCCTCTAGGAAATGGTATTGAGTGACCACAATCTGAATGCTGGGGTGCTTGCTACTACCAGGTTGATGATTGTTTCTATAAGCGATTTCAGGGGACAGAGCTGGTAAAATAATTTTTTAAAGAAAAAATATATCAGGTTCATTCTGACTCTTCTAATTCAAATTCAGGAGCACAGGGACTTCCCTGGTGGTCCAGTGGGTAAGACTCTGTGCTTCCAATGCAGCAGGCCCAGGTTCGATCCCTGGCCAGGGACCTAAGATACTACATGCCACGGGGCAACTAAGCCTGCGTGCTCTAGAGCCTGCATGCCGCAACAAAGTGCCTGCATGCTGCAACTAAGACCCAACATAACCAAATGAATAAATAAATAAATAGAATCCACCAGAGGGCAGACAGCAGAAGCAAGAAGAACTACTATCCTGCAGCCTGTGGAACAAAAACCACATTCACAGAAAGACAGACAAGATGAAAAGGCAGAGGGCTATGTACCAGATGAAGGAACAAGATAAAACCCCAGAAAAGCAACTAAATGAAGTGGAGATAGGCAACCTTCCAGAAAAGAATTCAGAATAATGATGGTGAAGATGATCCAGGACCTCGGAAAAAGAATGGAGGCAAAGATCAAGAAGATGCAAGAAATGTTTAACAAACACCTAGAAGAATTAAAGAACAAACAAACAGAGATGAACAATACAATAACTGAAATGAAAACTACACCAGAAGGAATCAATAGCAGAAGAACTGAGGCAGAAGAATGGGTAAGTGACCTGGAAGACAGAATGGTGGAATTCACTGCTGCAAACATAATAAAGAGAAAAGAATGAAAAGAAACGAAGACAGCCTAAGAGACATCTGGGACAACATTATACGCAACAAGATTCGCATTAGAGGGGTCCCAGAAGGAGAAGAGAGAGAGAAAGGACCAGAGAAAATATTTGAAGAGATTATAGTTGAAAATTTCCCTAACATGGGAAAGGAAATAGCCACCCAAGTCCAGGAAGCACAGAGAGTCCCATACAGGATAAACCCAAAGAGAAACATGCTGAGACACATAGTAATCAAACTGGCAAAAATTAAAGACAAAGAAAAATTATTGAAAGGAGCAAGGGAAAAATGACAAATAACATACAAGGGAACTCCCATAAGGTTAACAGCTGATTTCTCAGCAGAAACTCTACAAACCAGAAGGGACTGGCAGGACATATTTAAAGTGATGAAAGGGAAGAACCTACAACCAAGATTACTCTACCCAGCAAGGATCTCATTCAGATTCGATGGAGAAATCAAAAGCTTTACAGACAAGCAAAAGCTAAGAAAATTCAGCACCACCAAACCAGCTCTACAACAAATGCTAAAGGAACTTCTCTAAGTGGAAAACACAAGAGAAGAAAAGGACCTACAAAAACAAACCCCAAATGATTATGAAAATGGTCACAGGAACATACATATCGATAATTACCTTAAACGTGAATGGATTAAATGCTCCAACCAAAAGACACAGGCTTGCTGAATGGATACAAAAACAAGACCCATCTATATGCTGTCTACAAGAGACCCAATTCAGACCTAGGGACACATACAGACTGAAAGTGAGGGGATGGAAAAAGATATTCCATGCAAATGGAAATCAAAACAAAGCTGGAGTAGCAATAGTCATATCAGATAAAATAGACTTTAAAATAAAGAATGTTACAAGAGATAAGGAAGGACACTACATATTGATCAAGGGATCAATCCAAGAAGAAGATATAACAATTATAAATATATATGCACCCAACATAGGAGCACCTCAATACATAAGGCAACTGCTAACAGCTATAAAAGAGGAAATCGACAGTAACGCAATAATAGTGGGGGACATTAACAGCTCACTTACACCAATGGACAGATCATCCAAAATGAAAATAAGTAAAGAAACAGAAGCTTTAAATGACACAATAGACCAGATAGATTTAATTAATATTTATAGGACATTCCATCCAAAAACAGCAGATTACACTTTCTTCTCAAGTGTGCATGGAACATTCTCCAGGATAGATCACATCTTGGGTCACAAATCAAGCCTCAGTAAATTTAAGAAGACTGAAATCATATCAAGCATCTTTTCTGACCACAACGCTATGAGATTAGAAATGAATTACAGGGAAAAAAATGTAAATAACACAAACACATGGAGGCTAAACAATACGTTACTAAATAACCAAGAGATCACTGAAGAAATCAAAGAGGAAATCAAAAAATACTTAGAGACAAATGACAATGATACACGACAATCCAAAACCTATGGGATGCAGCAAAAGCAGTTCTAAGAGGGAAGTTTACTGCAATGCAAGCTTACCTCAAGAAACAAGAAAAATCTCAAATAAACAATCTAAGCTTACACCTAAAAGAACTAGAGAAAGAAGAACAAACAAAACCCAAAGTTAGCAAAAGGAACAAAATCATAAAGATCAGAGCAGAGATAAATGAAATAGAAACAAAGAAAACAGTAGCAAAGATCAATAAAACTAAAAGCTGGTTCTTTGAGAAGATAAACAAAATTGATAAACCATTAGCCAAACTCATCAAGGAGGGAGAAGACTCAAATCAATAAAATTAGAAATGAAAAAGGGGAAGTTACAACAGACACCGCACAAATACAAAGCATCCTGAGAGACTACTACAAGCAACTCTATGCCAATAAAATGGACAACCTGGAAGAAATGGACAAATTCTTAGAAAGGTATAACCTTCCAAGACTAAACCAGGAAGAAATAGAAAACAGGAACAGACCAATCACAAGTAATGAAATTGAAACTGTGATTAAAAATCTTCCAACAAACAAAAGTCCAGGACCAGATGACTTCACAGGTGAATTCTATCACATATTTAGAGAAGAGCTAACATCCACCCTTCTCAAACTCTTCCAAAAATTTGCAGAGGAAAGAACACTCCCCAACTCATTCTATGAGGCCACCATCACCCTGATACCAAAACCAGACAAAGATACTACAAAAAAAGAAAATTACAGATCAATATCACTGATGAACAGAGATGCAAAAATCCTCAACAAAATACTAGCAAACAGAATCCAACAACACATTAAAAGGATCATACACCATGATCAAGTGGGAATTATCCCAGGGACGCAAGGATTCTTCAATATACTCCAATCAATCAACGTGATACACCATATTAACAAACTGAAGGATAAAAACCATATGATCATCTCAACGGATGCAGAAAAAGCTATTGACAAAATTCAACACACATTTATGATAAAAACTCTCCAGAAAGTGGGCATAGAGGGAACCTACCTCAACATAATAAAGGCCATATATGACAAACCCACAGCAAACATCATTCTTAATGGTGAAAAACTGAAAGCATTTCCTCTAAGATCAGGAACAAGACAAGGATGTCCACTCTCACCACTATTATACAACATAGCTTTGGAAGTCATAGCCACAGCAATCAGATGAGAAAAAGAAATAAAAGGAATACAAATTGGAAAAGAAGTAAAACTGTCACTGTTTGCAGATGACATGATACCATACATAGAGAATCCTAAAGATGCCACCAGAAAACTACTAGAGCGAATCAATGAATCTGGTAAAGTTGCAGGATACAAAATTAATGCACAGAAATCTCTTGCATTCCTATACACTAATGATGAAAAATCTGAAAGAGAAATTAAGGGAACCCTCCCATTTACCACTGCAACAAAAAGAATAAAATACCTAGGAATAAACCTACCGAGGGAGACAAAAGACCTGTAAGCAGAAAACTATAAGACACTGATGAAAGAAATTAAAGATGATACAAACAGATGGAGAGATATACCATGTTCTTGGATTGGAAGAATCAATACTGTGAAAATGACTATACTACCCAAATCAATCTACAGATTCAATGCAATCCCTATCAAATTTCCAATGGCATTTTTTTCAGAACTGAACAAAAAACCTTAAAATTTATATGGAGACACAAAAGACCCCGAATAGCCAAAGCAGTCTTGAGGGAAAAAAACAGAGGTGGAGGACTCAGACTCCCTGACTTCAGACTATACTACAAAGCTACAGTAATCAAGACACTGGCACAAAAACAGAAAGATAGATCAATGGAACAGGATAGAAAGCCCACATATAAACCCGTGCACCTATGGTCAAGTAATCTATGACAAAGGACACAAGGATATACAATGGAGAAAAGACAGTCTCTTCAATAAGTGGTGCTGGGAAAACTGGACAGCTACATGTAAAAGAATGAAATTAGAACATTCCCTAACACCATACACAAAAATAAACTCAAAATGGATTAGAGACCTAAATGTAAGACCAGACACTATAAAACTCTTAGAGGAAAACATAGGAAGAACACTCTTTGATATGAATCACAGCAAGATCTTTTTTGATCCACTTCCTAGAGTAATGGAAATAAAAACAAAAATAAACAAATGGGACCTAATGAAATTTAAATGCTTTTGCATAGCAAAGGAAACTACAAACAAGACAAAAAGACAACCCTCAGAATGGGAGAAAATATTTGCAAATGAATCAACGGACAAAGGATTAATCTCCAAAATATACAAACAGCTCATGCAGCTCGATATTCAAAAACATACAACGCAATCCAAAAATGGGCAGAAGACCTAAATAGACATTTCTCCAAAGAAGACATACAGATGGCCAAGAAGCACATGAAAGGCTGCTCAACATCACTAATTATTAGAGAAATGCAAATCAAAACTACAATGAGGTATCACCTCACACCAGTTAGAATGGGCATCCCACTACTGGGCATATATCCAGAGAAAACCATAATTCAAAAAGACACATGCACCCCAATGTTCACTGCAGCACTATTTACCATAGCCAGGTCATGGAAGCAACCTAAATGCCCATTGACAGATGAATGGATAAAGAAGATGTGGTACATATATACAATGGAATATTACTCAGCCATAAAAAGGAAGGAAATTGGGTCATTTGTAGAGGCATGGATGAATCTAGAGACTGTCATACAGAGTGAAATAAGTCAGAAAGAGAAAAACAAATAGTGCATATTAATGCATACATGTGGAACCTAGAAAAATGGTACAGGTGAACCAGTTTGCAGGGCAGAAATACAGACACAGATGTAGAGAACAAACATATGGACACCAAGGGCGGAAAGCAGCGGGGCAGGGGTTGGTGGTGGTGGGATGAATTGGGAGATTGGGATTGACATGTATATATTAATATGTATAAAATGGATAACTAATAAGAACCTGCTGTATAAAAAAATTAAATTAAAAATTAAAAAAATTTAAATTATAAACAAATAAATAAATATGAAAAAAAGAAGTCCACACACCACAACTAAAGATCACGCATGCTGCAACAAAGATTCCCACATGGCGCAGCCAAAATAAATAAGTAAATAAACAAGCAAACAAATAAATATTTAAAACCAACCTAAAAACAAATTCAGGAGTACAGGCTTTCTTTAACCACACTGATGTTATCTGCCTCTCCATTTTCCAAGACTCAAAGTCCCCGTTCTCAGTGACATTAACGTAACTGTTTGCTTTATCACACACACACACATTCACACCTGTGTGTGAGAGATGTGTGTACACATAATGTAGAAACAGCAGAAGGAAATATGCCAAAATGTTAACATTAGTGGGATAAGGGATAATGAGGGGTTTTAACTTTTTTCTTTTAACCCATTTTTATATATCCCAAATTTCTACAATAAACATGTATTATCAGTAGTCAGACAAGAAAAAAGAATAATCTTATTTTTAAAAACACAGCTGGCTCACCACCTTTCAAGCAATCCAAACTATTCTTTTAGTGAATACACAGAATTCTTTAACACATATTATGTAAACCCTACCCTTAGGATCTCAAAATCCTAACACAGGTTCCCACTGCTCCCCATACCAAACGCCCACAGACCCCGGCCACCCAAAGTAAAATTCCTTACATCTCTCACAGATATTGTTTCTTCTACTATGATCTCCATCTCTGTCCCAGGCTGAACATCGCTCCCCACAGCGAAAAACAGGAACAGCTAAGATCAAGATAGAGGTATAAATGCAATTTAATTTGAATTTCAAAATTCTATATTATTTATTTCCAAAACCAGAAAGCCAATGGTCATAAAACTTTAATAAAAATCTCAAATTATGGGGGCTTCCCTGGTGGCGCAGTGGTTGAGAGTCCGCCTGCCAGATGCAGGGGACACGGGTTCGTGCCCCGGTCCGGGAAGATCCCACATGCCGTGGAGCGGCTGGGCCCGTGAGCCATGGCCGCTGAGCCTGCGCATCCGGAGCCCGTGCTCCGCAACGGGAGAGGCCACAACAGTGAGAGGCCCGTGTACCGCAAAAAAAAAAAAAAAAAAAAAATCTCAAATTATGTAAAAACAAGTCTACGTTGGGTATTTTAAAGTTACAATTTAAACAATAATCTTGACTACCTAGAAATGTAAGATTCTTTATCACCAATGTTTTTACTCCTAAGAAACATCTCTCACAGACATTATCTATTCTAGTATGATCTCCATCTCTCTCTCAGTCATTCCTCAAAGAGATTTGCAATTACTATACACTATAAGCATTAACTGTGTTTTTTCTGAGTCATTAGTTTGTGATCTTATTTTCTGTCCAGAGGTCCCATATACTTTAACTCCCTGGAACCCACAGGAAAAATGTAAATCTGATCTTGTCAGTTCAGTTCTTTACAGCCCTATTTTTCCTTTCTAACTCAACCGCACTTGTCATATTTTTTCTCCTATGATCTTGTCATGCAACTCTACTATTTGTTAGAGTTTGGGGGAGAACAAATTAAAGGGGAGGTAGTTGGGAAAACTAATGAAGTGGATTAGTTCCATATCAGGGATCTAGGAGCCATGGGGATCCTGATACGAGTTTAGCTTATCATGATACAGAGTCTTAACAGTAAGGACATCATTATGGCTTTTGGACTGTAATGAAAGTTTATTAAGTAGGTAGGGTTCTAGGCAAAGGTCAACCTGATAGTATTCTGCAGATAAAATGATTACGGATAAAGAAAAATCTGCTGTGAGTCTATTATATTATTGCAGGGAGTAATTAAGTTCAAAATCAGTATACTGTATTTCACTAAATCTAAAATGCTGCCAGTTGTTACTTATTATTTTATGCACTACTAAGAAAGGAAGCATAGCATCAGCTACAGTGCAGGATGCCACTGACTGTAAGACGCATCTTAATCTCACAGATGTTAAAATACAGGAGAAAAAGTGTACATTTTAGAATTTATGAATTATGGTGGTTGAAACTGGTGGCCACTCAACTTTAAAGATCTCCCTTAACCACAAAATTTTCACAGAAAAACAACCTTATGAATATACTTTGACATAGTATTTTTTTTTTCTTTTTTTTTTTTGCGGTACGCAGGCCTCTCACTGTTGTGGCCTCTTCCGTTGCGGAGCACAGGCTCCGGACACGCAGGCTCAGTGGCCATGGCTCACGGGCCCAGCCGCTCCGCGGCATGTGGGATCCTCCCAGACCGGGGCACAAACCCGCGTCCCCTGCATCGGCAGGCGGACTCTCAACCACTGCGCCACCAGGGAAGCCCTGACATAGTATTTTTGACTTAAACACAGAGAACTATATGGATGTATTCCTAAATAAAAGGTATCATTTGAGGAAAAGAAAAATTTTAAGAAAAACAGTATTACTGTAGTAGTTAAGGAATGAATCATACAATTAAGAACTTCTGATCATGGTCAGGTTGGTTGGGGTGTGTCAGGTGGTCTCCTTTTACCTGAGAAGAAGTTGGTGCTCTTCCAGGACACAGTCCCAATGAACTCCCCATCTTCAATTCTGCTTCCTTCAAAGTATAATTGTCTGGCACTAAAAAGAATTTTGATAACATGGTAAATGTTATTAATTCCTACCTTTGGGCAAACTACTACACTGAAATCAGCCTTTCTTTGTAAATCAAGAATGTTAAGAAAGAAAAAAACTGAGTTATACTCCATGCAAAAGGATTGTATACAGTTATGTTTGATCTTAGATTTTCTCACTCTAGGACGTATACTCTTGTTATCTGTACAGCAATGCTAAGAAATAAGAGGCAGCTATGAATGTTCCAGATTCATACTTAACAAAAGAGGGCAGTTGTTTGCATGGATTATGTAATATTCTGAATTGATTCATGCATGATGGACTAGCTTCTTCCAAGTTTAAAGCTGCTATGGTGACTACCATCAAAAGAGTAAATTAAGTCTAATGACAAGATGTGTTACAGAGGTAAGAACCAAGGCTCTGGTTGCTGTGATAACTGGTATCACGATGAAATCAGCAAAACAAATAAAAAACTTTGATAATAAATCTAGAAAGATACAACTAGGGCAAAACCATGACCACGTCAGCTAATCAGAAAGACAGGTGTTTTCCTTTAGAAAACAGAAGTGTTTGCTTTTTGGTTAAGACTTCTGTAATTCACAAGGAAGACACCTGGGTGAAAGTCTGTTCTATAAACCAGTTTCTAAAAGGTAACTTAAGAATATTAGGTATTGGAAGTCACTATTTAAGGTAAAAGTGTTGAGAAAGATAGGTGGCATGAGTAGGTGTCAGCTTTTGCAGGCTACCAAAAAGATTTACCTGGACAAAGAAGCTTCCCGTTTCTATCAATAGGCCTCAAACAGCTGTCCTCGGCTATAAATAAAAAGATGCTGGTTAGTGCAGCAAACAAAGAAAACCAAAGAGAGATGCTACACTGTGTTAATTAGCAGGAAGCTAAAAAAACAAAAAAACAAGCAAAAAAACCCAACAACAAAAAAACACGTACAGGCAGTCTTCCCTTTGCACAGCAGTGCAGGACCCTAAGAACACCTGTGCAAGTTGAAACTGTGCACAGAAATCTTTAAAAAAATTATGATTGTACCGTGACCTTTAAAATTCTTTGTCAAAACATTAAAAACTCTGCCAGTTATACATGTACAGTGAAATAAAAAAATAGCAAACTAATATTTACACTGTAATTTAAAACACTACAGGGTGCTTTCCTGGTGGCACAGTGGTTAAGAATCCAACTGCCAGTGCAGGGGACACGGGTTCGAGCCCTGGTCCGGGAAGATCCCACATGCCGCGGAGCAACTAAGCCCGGGCACCACAACTACTGAGCCTGCGCTTTAGGGCCCGCGAGCCACAACTACTGAACCCACATGCTGCAACTACTGAAGCCCACGCACCTAGATCCTGTGCTCTGCAACAAGAGATGCCACCGCAGCGAGAAGCCCGTGCACTGCAACGAAGAGCAGCCCCCACTCGGCACAACTAGAGAAAGCCTGCGCGCAGCAACCGAGACCCAACACAGACAAAAATAATAGACTAAAAAAAAACCCACTACAGACACTGAGAATTAAAATGTTTTCTTTGTACAAAACACAAGAATAGTTTAAACAGGGATTGCTTTTGTCTCGTAGAGCTTGCAGTACAGGGTGAACATCTTCTCTAGCCCCTAATGATACTCTAAGTTTGGATCAGCTTCCAGTATTTTGTTTTGTACTTTCAATTTCATGAAATATCTCCAAGAGCTCCTTTAATATGAAGTTTTTCTGCCAGCGTCGACTCCTCTGGGATATCTTCATATACTTTTCGTCACAACCACTTTCCTCACTCCTGTAAGTTTATGTTAAGTTCCTCTGGCTGCACGTCTGGATTCTCTCAAATGACAGCAGTGCCAGCATTCCCACAGCCAGCTATTTCTTCTGCAGCTCCATACACTTTTGTTTCTCTCTCTCTCTCTCTTTTTTTAAATATATATATTTATTTATTTATTTATTTATTTATTTTTAGCTGTGTTGGGCCTTTTGTGGCTGCGTGCGACTTTCTCTAGTTGCAGTGAGCAGGGGCTACTCTTCATTGTGGTGCATGGGCTTCTCATTGCGGTGGCTTCTCTTGTTGCGGAGCATGGGCTCTAGGCGAATGGGCTTCAGTAGTTGTGGCTCTTGGGCTCTAGAGCGCAGGCTCAGCAGTTGTGGCGCACGGGCTTAGTTGCTCTGTGGCATGTGGGATCTTCCTGGACCAGGGCTCGAACCCGTGTCCCCTGCATTGGCAGGCGGATTCTTAACCACTGTGCCACAAGGCAAGTCCCATACACTTTTGTTTCTTTCCTGCACTTTCACCATTGTTGGCTACTTCGATTATCCGTTCTTGTAAAATGTTACCTGAGTTTACCACTGGGAGAAAAGGAGGCAATAAACTACACACTTTGTTGTCTATGTGGTGAAATTAACAGCAGCTATGCACTGACCAATTACTGATAGGCTTTAAAGAGTGAAGTAACTGGTCACTGATCATGATGTACATGTTATTTCACAGTGATCTGTAGACTAAAGAGCTAGTAGCAAAGTTTGTACTTTATGCAATTACTCAGTTAATATCCAGTGGCAGCTGAAATCTGAACCATGCTGCTGGGTAACGGTGATGAATGGTGGCAACTGAAATTCATGTGTATTACGACTCTGCCTAGATTTAAAATAAGTTAGGTGATTTTTATGCTTAGTTATTAGTAAATGGATTAGGGCCAGTATGCCCTGTTTTTGAGCATGCAAAGACTCCTGCTTTGTGGGAAGAAGTATATTAGGTTTTAATTCCAAACAATTCTTACCAAGTTGCATATGAGGTGGGGGAATTCAAAGGGGTGGAGGCTTCTGAGAGGGCAGGAATG